TTAGTAAAGAGATTTCGACAAATCACTGTGTGGACCACCATTAGAGGCAGGGCAACTATGCTGCTATGATTGGACAAGTCCTAGTTGGTGTACAAAAGTTAAAACGAAAAGCCAAAGAGGACTCCACCAAAGAAAGCAGACTTTTAGATATGTCAAAATTTTTCTTATGGTTTTTCTAGATTAGTTTCCATTAAAGTGATCCATGGCTTTGGGGATTAAAATTTTAATAATATTCTGCTGCATATGAGTTATCTTAGTATAATTTAAATCCCCAACAATAAGTTCCTAAACTAACGCACTAATTCTAACTATTGGGATTAATAGTTTAATGAGGCCCAAACATCAATTGTTAGTCTTAAAATTGCCATTCTCGTAATAGTACACCCAACCATTTTTCGATGCAAGTTTCCCTATCTTCGAAGCAGAATTAGGCAAATCAATCTGCATGAAAGTTTTAACTCCCTCTCTTAGCTTTCCACTAGTCTAAGAATCATAGCATTTGGAGTTTTGTAGCTTGATTTATGGTGAAAACATCAAAGTAGATGCAAGCAAACTTTTGGTCTTTCAATACCTTACTTTTGAAAATTAAGCCAAATTCCCTTAGTTCCTATAAAAATATAAAAACTAATAAATAATAATCAAATTAAAAGAAATAAATATAAAACTAAAATAGCTTTGTTAAAAATAAACTAATTATAAAAATAATCAAAAATAACTAAATTATAATTGACAATTAAAAACTTAGCTAATTTTTAAAAACAAAATTGAACTAAAATAATTCTATAAAATAGAATAATCATACCCCTAAACTTAAGATTTTGCTAGTCCTTGAGCAAAAGAAAATCGCAAAAAGAAAATTAAACATAAAAATCCTTGAATGAGAGATAGAAGTACCAAATCATGATTTTCTAATTTTTCCTTTAGAAATTAACTCAAATTCTAGCTTAAAGTAATATCAACTAATCCTTAAAGTCATGCATCAATTCAAGTGAAAACTTATTTTTTGAATGGACTTCCTCTGTGTGTGTGAATAATCTCTTACAAAGAGTATCATCCAATTCGAATTAGTTTATGCCAAATCTAAGCATAGATTAATACTAGGAACCCATAAGTTCACTTTCCATCTTTCTCTCCACTAATGTAGATTAACACTTATTTA